GGCTTAAACTCATTAATAAAATCAATAACTATTATTATCCCCAAAATCTGGAAGTCATCACCACAAGAACATCTATGATCAAATTACTAAACTAAGAGTATTCTAAAAAGCTAAAATAAGTAAAAGCTAGTCCATGCCGGAACTTCAAGGCATCAAGACATGAAGAGAAAAACCCAGTCCAAGCTAGAAGCATTAGCTCACCCTGAAATCCAGTGTGATTGAAGACTGGCTAGAATTACGGTTGAGTTGAAGACGACGGCACGTTTGCTGCACTCCACAAATAACAAAGAAGAAAACATAAAAGTAGGGGGTCAGTACAAACACAAGTACTGAGTAGGTATCATCGGCCAACTCCAAATAGAAAATAATATATATCAAGTAATATCATGAATCAACTACAATACCTACATGTAGCAACAACAAGCCTATAATCATTACCAAGTACCGCCAAGTTCACACATGAGGACTCAAGCCTCAATACCATACTCATTTGGGAATTAGGTTCATTAGATTGAGTATATTAACATCTTTCAAGATTCATTATCTTTATTCCTCTTGTGTCGGTACGTGACACTCCGATCCCCTACTACTATGTGTCGGAACGTGACACTCCGATCTCCTAAATCTACGTGTCGGTTCGTGACACCCGATCCCCTAATTCTACGTGTCGGTTCGTGACACCCGATCCCCTAATTCTCATTCTATTAATTCATCAAGCCTTCTTTTATACCAAGGCATCATCATCTCATTACTTTAGATCATCAAGCCTTCTTTTATACCAAGACGTCATCATCTCATTACTTTAGTTCATCAAGCCTTCTTTTATACGAAGGCGTCATCAATAACAAGAGATTTTCAAGATTTGGGATTCAATAGTTTCATCATGCTTATTTTATCACAATTATATAAACACATCACACAAGCACACAATTAAGCATATAGAAGACTTACAATACAACCCAACGCATATCATTCGCTATCAAGACTTTACTACGAATAGTATAAAAACGATAATCTACCTCCACCGAAGATTAGTGATCAAGCAAGCAATTTCCCCAAGCTTTGTTCTTTGTTTTCTCTCTTCCTCGTTCGATCCTCTCTCTCTCTCTCTCTCTTTGTTCTTTCTACTTTTTTTATTCAAACCCTCTTTCTTTTACCCTAATTAGCATATAATTAAGAACAAAAGATTGCAATAATAAGCTACTAATTAACTTAAGGTTACCTCTTTTAACCCCCGAGTAATTAGACTTATTAAAATTAACCCACTAACTTTATAATTAGAGCAGGAATAGTCCAAAACGCCCCTTAAAATAATTACAGAAATCCGACCCAGCCTGTGATTACGCAGCCTGTGACGGCCCATCGCGCCTGCGACGGTCCGTCCTGCTGCTCCGTCACAGAGTTCAGAGACTCAATTTCTCTGAAGAGTCTGTGATGGTCCGTCACACCTGTGACGGTCCGTCCTGCCATTCCGTTACAAAGTTAGAGAGTCGATTTCAGTACCCAATTTTCAGAATTCTAAGTATTTTAGAACGAGATACCCTCGATGGTCCGTCGTGGGGCCCGTTGTCTTTGCCAGTATTTCCAGAATCAAAGTCTGCTGCTCAAAACGACTAAACAGGTCGTTACAAATAAGATGCTCTTTTGTTTGCCATATTTTGCATTTAATTTAGTTGCTACTCTTTTTTTGGGAGATTGAAAAAGAGCTCATAAAAGAAGTGGGTAAAGAGAAGAGAGGAAGAAATAGTGCGAGAGAGACAGAAAAAAGAGCGAAAAGGAGGAAAAAAAGAGCGACAGAAAAGAAAAAGAGCGAGAGAGAGAGAATTTACTTAAATACACAATGGTGTCATATATTGCTATAAATTATAATAATTAAAGAGTACATTTAAAATAAGTAATTATTTTTAAAATGGAATCCACTCAAGTAATTAATCCAACAAAAAAAATATAAAATTTACTAAACAGAATATAATCAGGGCCCAACAGAACATTAATCTATACTTCGAAAAACACATACTAGAGACCCTTAGTGATCAAGACATAAAAATGGAGTGAAATTTAAAAATATGAATTCGATTTTATTTATTTGTTGAGTCTATATTTTGTTAACATAAAAGAAATTATTGTTCATATAAAAAATTTAGTTGAGTGATTTTATCGATATATAAATACTTAAGTTGAGTGATTTTATTGATTATAATATCTAAGTTGAGTGATTTTAGTGAAACAAAAGAAAGTTTAATGACTTTACTAGCTATATTCTCAAAGTTGAGTGACCGTTTGAGATATTAACTCCAAACAAAGTGATTAAAATAAGAGAAAGTGTAACAATATTATGTGAATGAAATTTGATGGACTTGGACTTATGGTTTAATAGTTAGACTAAAATGTAATTGTTGAGCTTGAGAGGATGATAAAGTTAAAGACTTAAGTTGATGAAATTTATCAAAAATATTTATATTTTATTTAATAATGTCTAAATAATTATAACTTTATATATATATATATATATATATACATGTATATATATATATATACATGTATATATATATGTATGTGTATATATATATATATATATACATATATATATATATAAATTCTCGATTCAATTTGATTATTTTTGTGGTTTTTTCTTAGTGAAATCAAAATCAAATCAAATAGTATCAGTTTTGAAAATTTAAATCATATCTAACCAAATTAAATATGAATTATTTTAATCGATTATGCTGGAATTGCAGTTTGGTTTGATTTATCAACCACGACCATGAATAGCCATAGGAGTAATAATAATACTCCCCCGTTTTGATTTAGCTGGCTGCCTTGAATTTCGTCATTGGTTTGTGTCTTGATAGTACTTCTTTGATTTTAGTAAAAGTTGGAATATGGTTTTGTGCTTGTGGACTCCTTTTAATTAGTTATATAAAGCTAACATGATTTTGACAAGAGTCTCTTTTAATTTTTGCGCTCTGACTAATATGTAGAAAAAAAAGAAAACAATATAGCTAAGTGTTTTAAGCTTTATTTGTGCTTGTGTTGTCGCAGGGTAAGGACAGACAGTAACTAAGGAAGGACAAAAAGAGTTGATGCCAATGGGTTGAATGACACCACTAGTATTTCTTTTTCTTGTTTTTTGGTTTGTAACATATAATGTGATTACAATATTTGTTGGGTTTGAGAAATCAAAATCAAGGGATGTTGGTTTTCCTGATCCCATTATTCAGAATCCCACAAAACTAGGTAATATATCAGAAAAGTTGTTATTCCATATAGCATTAACAGCAACTGATACTTCTTATAGCAAGTGGCAATGCCGCATCATGTACTACCGGTATATGAAAAATAAGAATTTACCGGGTTCAGAGATGGGAAAATTCACCCGGAATCCTCCATTTAGGAATCCCTGACAATCTTATGGATGGAATTCCCACATTTGTCGTTGATCCTCTTCCACAAGGTTTTTATATGGTCAGAATTAAACATGCCTTTAATTTCTTCCCTCCACTCAGGTTTTGGCATCAAATACTCAGTTAGTTTGCTGCTTATTACAGGGTTAGATAGTCCTCAATAGACCTGCATTCGTTTAGTGGTTGGAGAAGGCTACCATAGAAGAGGAGTGAGTTGTCAAATGTATTTATCTGCAGCTTGACTGCACATATGTATATAACAATCTTATTCTATTGTGGCAGATACATACTTATGGCAGAGCCTGATCACATCTTTTTGAAACCGCTGCCAAATTTCGCTTATGGAGATTACCCGGTTGCTTTCCCTTTTTTCTACATGAAACCTGCTGAACACGAGGATATCATAAGGAAATTCGTTCCCAAACAAAATGGTCCTATAACAAATGTTGATCTCATTGGAAATTCACCTGTCATCATTAAGAAGGTATACTTTTACTACCATGTATTAAATTATTGAAGCAACCCCCTTTATTCTGCATGCTCCACAAGTTTAGAGAGTAAGAATTTCATGATAATATAAGTAGCAGTAACTCTGACCGAATACATGCTCCGCAAGTTTAGTTATTAACACTAGAAGAGTGAAGTTGATGTAAGACAAGACCACAATTGTGGTGCCAAATTTAGATATCTTGGTTTGCTGTTTCAAAAGAATGGAATGATAAATGGAGATGTTACTCAAGGTGTTATCATATATATGCCTGCTTAAGACTTGGAGTCTTTCACAATATTCTTGATATCACCTTATACTTTGGACTCTCGAAATCAATGTACATCAACGTTCCAACTATGGCTGAGGCTCTAATTATTTGCTTGTTTGATTTAATTTTCAGGATACATATCTTGACTGTCATTGATCATTAGCTTTATCATATCCCCCTACTCCTTGTACCATTACTTTTGAAAGTATTGCCGATATCTAGACGGTTCATTTCTTTACAGATTTTGATTTTTTTTGTGTTGCAATTGTCATACTCGCTGATTTTTCAATATCTGCTTGTTTCAGGTTGTCAATCTTCATAAATAACTGCAAGGTTATTTATATATTTTTAATGTTGTTAATACTATCTACATGTATCTTTTCAGCTTTAATTTCATCAATTATTCAGAATAATTTTCCGTGTGTGTTTAGATTGTTATTAGATACAGGTCTCTCAACTGTGATCAAGTTTATTACAGCTACATCAATGCTTCGATCAGCACTATGTGCTTATTCTGCACCTGTATTTTTCAAGGAATTATTTTTGGTTTATAATACAGAATTTGTTGGAGGAAGTTGCAACTACATGGATGAATATTTCTCTAAGAATGAAACATGATGAAGAAACAGATAGAACTTTTGGTTGGATCTTAGAAATGTGAGAGATGTACTAATGAGCTGAAAGATATTGTAGGTTGCTTTGCATGGTGTTCAGCATATTCTTTGGAAAGACTTTATGCTACAGGTTTTGATCTGTTTCTGTATATTTATTTTCTTATACTTTTCATAAGTAAGTAAATTTTTGGATTTTTGAAAATGTTTTAGCCACCTTGGGATTTGGACAGTAGAAAAATGTTTATCCTCTATTACACTTATGCGTGTCACTACAACATGCAGGTAAAGTTATTATTTGTGTACTTAATTAGTTTCAATCTTTGTATTAATGATGAGTAATCTTATGCCGTAGCTTGTTGTTCAGAGTGAGCTTGCTTACGGAAAAATTGGAGAGTGGCGATTTGATAAGAGGTCCTATATCAAAGGACCTCCACTTAAAAATTTATCCCTGCCTCCACCTAACGTCCCAGAAAGTGTGGTATGTAATATGTATACATCTCTCCATAAATCTTCAATAAGCATGGTTATTAGTGTGGCCTATATTGGTACAATTTTTTGAATAAAACACCGCATGCAATTATTAGTTAGATACAGATGAGGAGATCAATGATTTGGTTGCCAGTATTCATCAAGTAGTATGTTGTTAATATTCATTCCAGGAGAATCAATTGTCTCTTAAAGCTACAAGTGAAGAATAACCGATTTATCAAGTTTAGTATCTATTCTTGATTCTAGCCCTACTATTCAATCCCTTAACAGAGGAAAACATTGGTTAGTAGATTGAATCTACGTCACTATTCTTTCCAACCGATCCAGAAAAAAGTAGATCAACTGTAGTATTTTTGTTTCTGATAAACAACAAGTAAGCCCTACTTGTCACATAATGAGTATTATATACATGCATTACATTGAATATAGGTATTTGCTTCAAGGCAAAAAAATAAACACTCCAGTATGCATCAACTATAACAAGATATAAAATCTTATTGAAGTTGGTTTTTACCCTGCCTCCTTGTATGAGTTCTCAGTCACAACGTTAGTGCCCACAAAATAAGCTAGCCCATATTATTGTGGGTTGGTGAGTGACTTTTTAGATAGGTAAAATATATGTTTATGCCCATATTTAATCCATAGAAATATGAGTATTCATTGGTAATATATGGGTTAGCCGAATCAGTTAAGCTCTCAACTTTAATTTACTCGTATCACTAAAATTGTTGTAACTTTTCTTATTCTTTTTATGTTCCTAATTGTTCTTCTCTATGATTGAAAAACATAAATTGTTTGACCCTAAAAAAATATATACTATATTACATGACATTTCTTTTCTTAATTATAATATTGAAAAGTTAAATAGGAATTTTTTTCTTTTTTTACATTGATGATACAATAAAACTAAATAAAACATCTTCAACATTTTCTTTTTATCAATGTTTAATTCTAAAGTAGAGTACTATTCTAATCATGTAAATATGGGTAACCTTGTATTTTACCCAATCCATTTGTTACCGATATGAAATATGAGTTTGTTGAATTCTCATTCATTTTATGTTGACCATTTTCAACTGTCTAAATTTTTATTCAACCCGTCCATTTTCATCACTAGTCACATGATATTGAAGAAACCTTACCCCCTATACAAGAACTAGATTCTTTTACTTTTACCAAAATAAACAATCCCAACACAATAAAACAAAGATTTTATCATGAAAACCTTTCTCCCTCAAGGAAGGAAAAACCACACCACCATTTTATTATCATTAAGAAAAATTCAAAATTGCAACTCAATAATCAAAGAACTAACTCTAGTACCTTTACTCTCTATCGATTAACTATAATCAAATCTCTATTCTTAAGTCAAACTCGTTTCTTATTACAATTCTCTCAAACTCTCTTTAACTCAACTCCCAGTCAAAACCAACTTCCTGTTATAACACTCTCAAAATTTCTTCTCTCTTAGAACACACCTCCTAAACACTGATTCAAGAACAACCAATGTAACACATTACTTCAGAATGAAATTCCAACTCTAGTACTTCTTTCATTTGCTTTGTTGATCTCCTTGATTATTCGGCCTTCTCTTGGAATAATTTCTCTCAATTTATGATTTCACAAAGACAACTATTTCTCTTTTTTGCTTTTTCCTTTATAGAAGTTCATTTTCTCTTGATCGACTTCTACCAGGAAGATATAAGTTTTCCTACAAATCTAATCCTTTTCATCTCGGCTTGCTAGTTTGGACACACATTTCCTCTTTTATCTCTAAATAAGCGAATTCTTCCCGCCTCTTTATTTTATGTCCGGTATGTGTTATGTGCACCTTGTTCATTTTGACATCATCAAAAGTATTTTGAGCAATCCATTATTCATAAATTTACCTCTTTTCGATGATGAAATATATACTTAGACATGATAACAGAATGTGAACAATATCTAAGGATATTAGCCATCCAAACAAAAAGAGAAGAACAAATCAAAGACAAATAATCCAGTAAAAGAGTATGCATTAGGTTATAAGTTCACAGTGCTCCAAACAAATATCCAACATTGACACAAAACATAACTTTTCACAAGAATGTCTCAAAAAAACAAAAAGGAATGATATAGGAGGTGGAAGGAGGGAGAGGTATGTGGGGTATGAGATAGGGACAATAAATATGAAACATGATACACACGAGCATTGTTGTCTTGTTGTTGGAGTAGTAACTGGTCCTTCAATCTAGCTACTTCCACCTATGACTAGGCCATCTTAGTACAAAGAGTATCAATCTAAGTAAGGAGGACAATATTATGTTCCCTGGTAGCACGAAGATCATTGAGAAGAATGGCAACTGGTCTAGTAGCCCTGGGAGCAGTAGCAGAACCAAGTCGTCATAATCAAGAAGTCTGCAGTAAGAAAGACTAGACCTAAGTAACCATATGCGACTTGTTCAGAACTCTTCCTTCCATCAAGGGATTATTAAAAGCTTTAAACATAATAGTGGGAAGGATACTAAAAGCCAACTGATGAGGACCAGGCTTAGGATTAACTACGTATCGCATGTGTTTTATCATAAAAGAAGGCCAGTCAATAGGTTCTTTGTTTTCGAGGGCAATGGAAATCCCCATGTCCTTAAAGGAAGCCTGATGTAGTTTGTCCCCCTAGAAAGAACTCCCTTGTGCACTAATTCGTACAACAATTTGTGAAAAGGTATCATTTTCCCTTTAAGCACCTTTCTTGGTCGTGCAAAGACCCTCCATTGTGTTTACATAGATGTGAGCAAAAAAATTTCATCGTTGGTTCACACGTATTCACTTATACCAGCTATCTAAATATGAAAAATTTCGTGAAGACGTACATTATAAAATATTAATTTAACCTTATTAACAGGGGAAGTAGCAACGTTATCTTCAAACACATTTAGGTTCACATAAAATTCAACTACCTCATTTTTGTGGACCTCTAACCTTGTGTCAAGAAACAGATCCGCCCAACCCTGAAATTACAACAATTCAAGCACCTTTTGAACCACATCTAAAGTCCAAACCTCGTGATGAGAGGTTCTTCCCCTTAAAAATGCTTTAGACCTGAAACACATTTCCTTCCCTATTTTGAAGTACTTGGACAAATTCTTACTCATTTTTTGTGGCGGAGAAAGGAATTAGAGGGAGTAAAATCATGAGGTGCCTAGGTCTTAACCAAGAACAACAAGAAGAGACTGAGGGGAGCGAAATAGAGACTTACCGGCGTGACGATATTTCTTGCTTGATTCAACATCCTTTTTAGTTGGGCCTGACTAGCTTCGTGTGAATGGGATGTGGATAATGGTTTTCACTTGAGCAATATGCTTGCATGGTTTCTGCGGAACAGTTTGGCGTAGTTGACTAATAAGGGGAACCTCATCAATGCCTACGTTTTGTGAATAAGTGGTCTGGGTGGGCATTGGGTTAGGATTTGATGTAGGAAGAGGAATTTCTAAGGATTATGGCGGGACTAATGGTCTTGAAGAAGTGGATATTTGATAAATAAAATTAGAGTTAGGGTTTTTGGAGGAGATGGTGAGAGAGTTAAAGGGCTGCCGAAGGCGTATATTGGGAGAAGAGAGGATGACCGGATCAAAGATGTTGACCAATGAGGAGGGAATTGATGAGGCGGATATGAAGGTGTGGTGGAGGTGACGCCTTGCCCCTAAGACAATTTCCTAGATGACTCGGTGTTAGACCCGTAAACTACTTGATCTGACTATGTGCAGACATGTCAAGGACTTGGGCATTGGTCTTGACATGAATGGGGGCAAAACAGTGCAACACAGGTTCAAGGTGCTTGGGTGTTGGCAAAGCAACTTGAACATGCAAGACTTATGTGTGGGCAGGAGTCATCGGTAAGGCAGCGTGTTGGCATGATAAGGCAAAGCTGTGAAGAATTTATGGTGGAAAAATCAAAGGCATTTCATGTGAATTGCTGAAATAAAACTAAGTGTTGGAGGGAAGCTAAAATATTCTAAGTATTGGAAGCTGGCTGAAACATTCTAAGTGTTGGAATGTAGCCTGAAATATTCTAAGTGTTAACATATTAATATTTCGCGTGGATAGGGATGTAATTTGAATTAGATCCTATCTGTTAGAAATATAGATGTTGGAAACTTTAGTTTGAATCATGTGATGACAAGTGTCGGACATGTGTTATTTGTAACTGACTTAAGTAACTGCCACTTGTAGAAATTTTATAAAGGTTGAAATTTCGTTTAAGGCTATAGAGAGTGATTCTGGTCTTAGATAAACTCGTGAAGCCTTCCCTTTGTATTAAATATAAGATTAATAATTGTTGGGACGAGTTCCTGTACATTCTGTTCGCTGTTTAACTTTGCTGCTTAAGTATTTCTATCCTTAGTCAACTCTGTGTGAGTAAGATAGGTTGAGTGTTGCAGACATTTCCAGGACTGCCTAGGGTGGCATTCGGTAAAAATAAATCGACCCTCTTTCACTTAGGCATGTATTCCTTTTCGGTGAGGAGGAGGAGTCCTCATCAACGGAGTAGGAGACTAGGTTTGGTGGTTTAGACATTGTGAGGATTTATGGGTTTGAGAGGTTTTTCGGTGCTTATGTGAGAGATCAGTGTACAAGATTAATCATCACCATTATTTCTTTAGTCTTAGCCTAGTCTAGTATAAATACTATATTATTCCATTTTAGTAGGTAGATTATTTTTGTGATATATATTGAGATTATGACTGATACTTTAGAGTCTAGAGAGAGTTGGGTCTATGACCTTTATATTAATAAATTGATGATTTGACAAAGCTTTCCTCTTGAAGGTTTATCTTTTAGTTAGGTGCTTGTTAGATTCTATTAATTGAGGGTTTAAGCTTTCTACTGTACTTGTGAATCAATCTCCATCTGGTGTTTTTTCTATCCTTGTATCTTTATTTTTTCTTCTTAGTTTTAAGGTTTCCACTTTCACATTTCAGTTTTATATCTAGAAGAATGGATGGAGTTTGTAGAGAATCATGTCTTTTTTTTGGATATTCTTTGCCTTTTGGTATACCCTTGTTTATGATGAAATATGTTTACCTTATAAAAAAAGAAATTGAAACAGTTCCCTCAATCCCAAGTTCAAACCATTATAACAAGATAATTTTAATAATATATACACTGTTATTAATGATTCACTTGGAAATATTATGAACTTACGTTTTACAGAAATACTAATAATTTGTTTTCAGGTCCATTTCATTTCAATGTTGAGGTTTTTTTTTGATTCAGTAGATTCATTCCTAGCATCAAGAAGACAATATTGTCTTTGCCAAAGTAGGAAGCTGAGAAGCTACAAAAAAATTCTATACATTAAAACACTATTTAGAATGTTAGTTTTAGGAGACAAAAGAAGTAGTCTATCTACAAATTAAATCAATTTTTTAGCTTAACAGAAGTAGGAGACATTTGGTTTTGAGGAAATGCTAACCACCGAAACAATTTAGACCCGGACTTAATTACAACAATTATTGGGCGTTGCTTCTATGGATCCTTTGCTTTCGTTATGATCTGTTCTTAGAACTTTTTGGACTTATTTATGAGTATGGACCCAATTTCACAAAGAGCATGCTGACTTGACCTCTCATATTATCCCCTACATGTAGTCAATTATGTACTACTTCCAGCTACTAACATCATTTCTAATTTGATTTTTGCGTTGCTGCGACATTCATCTTTGGATATTTACGAGTCTCATAATCATTCTTCAACTTAATTACCAATCACATTTTCACATAATCCATTATATCCATCCTTTGTTGAATATGTATGTCACCTAAATTATCTCCGGCCATGCTTATGAACAATTATCCTAAAAACTATGATCTACAATATTCATATCCATAATATATACCAGCTTTTGGTCATCATGCACCATGAAACATTAATTTTTATTCTTTTGGTTGATGAACTTTGTAATTTTTTCTTATTTATCAACATGGATGTTCACTTGTTTGGCCTCCTTAGTCCTAATGAAATATTAAACAACTTAAATAACCCCAATAATGTTTATTTTATATACCATATGAAGAATAACTTCATGCCTTTCGTATTATGATGTAATTCTTGAGTAGTATATATAAAGCCTAGGTGTGTAGCTATGTTTGTATGGGTGACAAATGAATGGACATCAAAATCGCATCCCCGTCATCAAGATTTATACTTTTCTCCTCTAACATGTTTTTGTGGAATCTTGGTACAAGCCAAAAAAAAAAACCTCAGGCTGTGTGTCACAGTCTCTCATCACTTTTCGGTCTACTCCATTATTTTTATTTTGCTTTTGCATATCCTCACTCCCATATTGTCTCATCGCTTTTAGGGATACTCTATTATTTTTATTTTGCTTTTGCATATCCTCACTCCACCACTACTATTCACTTGACACATTTTAAATTTAATTTCTTGTATGGTTTCACCTATTGTGTATGTTACCTGTTCAACTTAATGAGTATTATATACTTCTTTTTTAGCATTCCCCTTCTATTATGTTGAATCTCCGAAACGCCAATTATTAAATTATATAAGATATCTTTTTAAATGTTAGATTTTGTTTTTTCGAGGCTTATAACTAGTGATAAGGTTGCAGGTAACTCTCGTGAAGATGGTAAACGAAGCAACTGCCAACATTCCAAATTGGTGAGCAGAGTAGTGATATTATACTATTTGAAGCCCAACCTACACAAAACAAACGATTCTTTTTCACTCTCACAAAAATGTAATACATAGAAACAAGTTTTATAATATATATGGAAATGTTTATCTAGTAAACATATTTTGATAAATTAAATATAGATGGTTAAATCCTTTCTTTTTCACTTCTTTTATCCACCAGAAGGAAGAGTCTACAAAGAATATTTCTTTAAACCTAGATAAACATCAAATACCATTAAAATATACAACCAAAATGTGTTTAAATGTCAATGGTCCGGACATGCTGTGTATCATAATATATAGGGACAATGACCTGGAAGACCCTTTTACTGGTCTCAATTCATAATTTGAATTATTTTACTTACATTTTATCAACTAAACCCTTAAGCTCAATGAAACTCTATTTTTAAGCCCTTTTGACCATAGACAAAACTTATGTGACACTAAAATCTCCGAATTGGATAAATTCATGATCCCACACGTCTTTGAAGCAAGTCTTACAATATTATTATTTTAAAATGGTCAAAATTATAAGATAAAATAAAAATTATAAAAAAATGAAAAGAATGTTATATTGAAAACCTTCTTCTTAACTCCACCTCGTCCCACCCCACCTCTTCTCTCTTACTTTTCAGCCCTACTCCTTTCATCCTCTTCTTCTTCTCAAACCTCAACCCTCATTCCCCCACCCTCCCCCTCCCCTACTCATTTTCTCTTCTTCTTTAACGTAAACATTATCACTATAAAATCATTAAATAAAAAATTTAAAAAGTTTTTGCAACAAGATATACCATTCACCATTTTATAAACTTAATTCATTAAGATCTATTACTTTAACATATATATATAAACATATTTTTTCAATTTGAAGTTTTCTTGATATCTTTTTTTATCAAATTAAAATTAATAGAATCCTAAAGCATGTGCAACAACTAATTATAATCTTTCACATTTTGTTATTGAGGAAAATTTTCAGTATGAGCTAGGATGAAATATGAAAATGGTAGTTTTTATTTTTGGGTTGAAAATGGTAGAATGTGGGAACAATGAAGATGGAGTGGGAAGGGGGTGAAATGAGTATAGTCAGAGAGAATCTTTTTTTTTTACATTTTTAAAATATTATTTATTTTTAAATATTTTATTTATGATGTCTCATTAGAAAATTAATAATAATTATGATGATGTGTCATTAAAAAATGAGGTGATATTTCCTGTGTAAAATGATTGTGCTACATGCACACCCATCAAGTAATAAATGAGTCAAAAATATTCTGTTTGAATAAGTTTAAGGGTTCAATTGACAAAGTCGTAAGTATATGAATCCAACATACAAATTGAGTCAAGTACAAGGGTCTCTCAAGTCATTCCACCTAATATATATTAGTAGAGAACGCATAATTTAACCCTAAGTTTCAAAAAAATATTTTAACTTTATGTAATACCCTTTATTGTTGTGCCAATTGAATTTATTCCCCCTTATGACCCCATATGAGTGTACTTTACTCACCAATAGAGCGTGAGGTAACTCTAATATTTAATATTTTTTTTTATCATCTATTACATTATAAATATTATTTTATTACTTTATTTATGTTGTATTTATTTTCAACTCTTTTTCCCTCCTATCCGTTTCTCTTTTTCCATTGGTCAATTTTCTAACGCCTCTATCACTACCCAGGGGTACACTCTAGATGTAACATGGTGTACAAGAACTTGAAAGGTCTTATACAAGTCATTAGCATATCATACTATGAAGTAATAGAAATATGTGCAGATTTTAAAAACATCTTGCAATAATATCAAAGTTTCATAAATCGAAGTGAAAGTCTCATAACACTCGGGAAATCCCATGACTTAGTCTAGAGACTCACTTCATGAACTAAGACTTAAAATAGTGTTTATAAGCTTATAATAAGAATTCAACATAATTAGGAAGTATTAGAATCAAAACATTAAGAAATGACCACGACGTCCAGAGACTAGTGAAATTGAACTAGTGTGCCTTTTTGTGTTTCAAGGGGTTTAAAGTCGAATTTAAGTCAAATTAGGTGAAAAGGATTGAATTACATATTAGAGTGTGTTTAGGTAGAAATGTCTAGGTACGACTCCTCAAGGACCACCCTAATGGTCCTTGAGAGGACCCTAACATTTGACCCTAAAAGTTGTCAATTGTCAATGGGAAAACGACGGAGCAGACAATGAGCCATCGAAGAGTCAACGGATCATAGATGGTGCTCATGGTTGGAGACTTATACAAATCACAATATTTCTCAAAAACCAAGTCTCTGACCAAAACCACGAACTACCAGTACGGTCCATGGTTTGGTCGGTAGACCGTTGACGCGGAGTCTTCGTTTTGTCCTCCACTTCACCGTCTAATTTCGGCAAAGGTTAGGACAATTAGTTAATAAATTAATAAGGTATTAAGGTATGGTAAATTAATTTAGTTGGGGACTATAAAAGATTATACTTCATTAGACTAACTCAATACAATATTATTTCCCAAACCCAATTCACTCCCACTTCTCTGTACTTTCTCTCACTACCCCAAAGACCCAAATAAAGACCAAGGTTCAAGATTTACTTGGGCTTCAAGACTCAAGTTTTCCACCATCATTATTTAAGGATTGTTGTGGTATGGAAGCTATTAACTCTTTGAAACCTTGTCCCCAAGAGGCTATTCAAAGATTTGAATTTTATGTTCTTCAAAATTATGGTTTTCACCCAATTTCGTGGGTTATCCTTCAAATTAATTTCTTATGATATTGTGTTGGTTTATATTGATAGATTATGATTATTTGTTGGTATATTGTTTTAGTTCTTTAGCTATGAAAAAGATTGATAGTTTATTAGGGTTGTTGTAATTGGAGATTTTATTAATTAGTTTACTATTACATGAATTTGATTATTGGATTATTGGATAAATGTTGTGGAATTGAGGGTGAGATGTTCAAGGAGATTCTTGCAAGCCATAGGTAAGACTTCTAAGATCAGGATTACTATATTATGTTGATGTTTATTTATACTTGATGTTTTTATTCAATTGAAGAGTAAATGATGAATCTATGCATGTATTATTAGGATATGATTATGTTGAATGTGAGATCATGATGAACTAAGGTTACGGAGGATTGCAAAAAATTCTATTGTGCTTCTTCTTAGTGTGCTTATGATATGATGTATTTCTAAAATAATGATGGTTTAGTGATGAAAGAATATTCTTATCCTGGACCTTAAGAGCTAATGACATGATTCTACAAGGTGTTAGTCTCTTATGACCTATATTATGAATTGATTATTGAGAAGGACTTAAAGAGACTTCAAAAAAGGAATTTAGCTTAGCACCAAACAAACTAGATGTGAGAGGTGTGACTTCCCAAGAGAGAAGGTAGGTTAACTATTGTTCTCATGACATGGAGACTATGATGAAAATGTGCATACATGAGTTTGTAGCAAATCTACTAGTTCCTTAAATATGTGACCCCATAGGAATACTAGCTAGTGGATCCACCTAGATGCTATGTTGATGTTATAGTTCTACCTTGGAAAGTAGAGCACCTTCATTTGGTATAGTGTTTCATGACACTAGATTAAATGTTTATATCACATGGTCTATAGTAAGTTATGCCGAATGTTTCCAAAAGTAAAATGAATGAATGAAAGTTCTCACATTCGGGGAGTACCCCCTAGACGTAACTGGCATCGTCGTCCTCATCGAGGACTAAGACTAGCCTTTTAGCTTTTTACATCATTACATTCATAGGTTAAAATTCAGAAAAATTTAAAACTTTTCTTATATCTATCATGAGGTTTACATAGACCTCTTGCATACACAAAATATCTATTCATATCGAGTATTCATAGAACCTTCGTATAAGAGAATTACTTAGTCTTGTACTTTAATTGCACACACACATATATATATAAGATATAACATAGTCTTAAAACCGGATGTCTCATGTCATAACCAAACAAACACTATTATAAAAATTGGGCATAACTGATACATCAATACCATAAAAGACACATGTACGCTATACAATCTTTAATACTCAAATGGAAGGAAATGAACATATTGTCTTTAAAACTAATCAACATTTGAAGCTAGAAAATGGCATTGTCCTAAAATTAATGAGGACCTACCCAACTTGGAGAGTGAGAATCCAAGTCTTTCTTCAAATGTCTTCACAAGCCTTCAATGACTGAAACTAAAATTTTGGGTAAAAAGGGAGAAAATGGGGTTATCATATCACTTGTACTAAGTATGAGACCATATGCACACAGAACATAAAATCATGTTAAAAAGGGACATTTAATTAAAGTATGAAATTTACTTTGAAAAGCCTTATGCACCTTCAAGAACCCATACCAACCAATAAGGCATATTTATTAAGTAAAGACCATGTACATCAATAACAACAATACTAAGTCTACTCAAGTCAACATGCATATCAACATAATCGATCACCTTGTCAAGATAACTCTATCATCAAGTCTTAATCTAACCAAGCATGGATGAGAGTTCATAACATCACAACCAAGTCAAGAACATTACTCATGACCCTCATTAAGTCCACTAGTGTAATGACTAAGCAAAACCCCATAAACTTACTCAATAAAGTAAACCCAACAAGAACCATGACCAATGTCCAACTTCACATAGCATATCTTTAAGAGTAAATAGAATCATACATTAGCAATAGAGACCAAAAACATGTTCATAAGTGAAAGCAATCATCATATAGTATCATTCATATTTATAAGCATATACATACAAAAGAACATCCTCTTAAGACTTCCCTCAAGGCTAACCAGTGCAATGTTTATGTAGAGTCCCATACCCTTACCTAGACTAAGCTAAACCCCTTAGGTCATCCTAGTTAGAGTTCATTCCTTTAGTTCATTTAACCTTTTGGAAACATCTTAACTTAACTGAAATAGTCCATATGAACAAATGTGGAATCCGGTGTCATGGAACCCTACACCAAAGGAAGGTGAACTACTTGCAATAGTAGTACAAAAATATGAACATAACATCTAGGTGGATCCACTAGCTAGTACTCCTATGAGGGAAACATAGTTCAAGAACAAAGAGATATAGTTGGGACCGTCATTATGCTACATG